ACATGGGTTATTCCCAGCAACACACATAATCCCGCACCCACGTCCAAATGCACTTTTCAATATGTCCCTCATGAATGTGGGACATTCTACACTTTTCCAAGACATGCCAATCAATTAGCTGAACAGAGCCATGCAAAAATTGATGAAAGGCTCTTTTTCAACACAATGGCCAACAAAATATCCACCACCATGTCATCACTGATACCACCAATAGTACCGGTACTACCAATAGCAACACATTAGTGCCACAACAACGACAACTCTCTTTGGTCATGAATCAAACTCAACAAACTCAGCCATTCCATGCATGTGCATGCACCTATAGGGGTGTGTCTCTCAACAGTGCTCTCAATTGATGCGGCAACACAACAGTCTCGTTATCCAGTATTTCTAACTGTTCAGCAGCTGAACTTCAGCTAGGGGCAACAGCAGCACTCAAAACTTCTGTTCTTTCCTTTCTTCATTGGCCGCAGCTGTCTCCATCAGTGAAGACAGCGGCTGCTGAAGCAGAAAACTGACGTCCTCACCAGTCAATGACCGCCAATGAACATTGGTAAAAGAATTCTATCGGTCCTATGTCACCATTATGAACCACTTTCTTCACCTTACACTGCCACAAAAATGCCGGGTACTTGGGACTGCCTCTACTGCGATAGAGCCGCTGCAGAGTAGCTCAGTAAATAGCGGGGGCCGGATAGGGGGACCCGAAAGATAGCGGTGGAGGTAGGCAGGGGAGCCCTCCCTGCGCCACAATAATGAGAGCAATCTCCACCTAGGATGTGGCGGTGGCCACCGAGCGGGGGGACACCTCCCGCCATGTGTCGGTGCGGATGGGGTCGGACTCGGAATTGACACCCTTCTTGATCGGGTAGCCGGGCTGTGTGGCGAGGCCGAAGGCCGCCAGAGGAGCGCCCACATTGCGCCTCACCCTATGCATAAGAAAGAAATGTCATTTGGATTGTGCGGCCGTGTGTTTTTGAGTCTTAAACTGGTGTGCATGTAAGAGAATGTCCTCCACATTCTGCAACCATGTGCAAACCACAGCACACGGTCAAGCAAGCAGAGCGCAACCCAGTGGCCTCATCCTGTGCATGTATGAAGATGTTTCCGTGGACTATCATAGTGGCATCATAATTGGCACACAAGCTCTGCTGCTGCTGATACAGGTACCAATTGCACGAGGCAACTTAACTCACCAACGACTTCTTTCTGCAGGAAACAACATGCCTGCAGCCATGCATTATACCATGCTCTAGACCTGATTAGCTTTCTCACGACCACCCAGCGGCATACCCACGGCGTGAGCATCTACAACACGCCAGGGGAACAGGGAGGCTTTTACGGGGGAGCTAGCATATGTACTGCAAGTTTTGGAGGGGAAAAAAAGGAGCGCATACCTGAAGAAGCCCTGCTCGCCCCAGGTTGTGCCCCAGCTGTTCTTGATGATCCAGTAGTCCTGCCCCTCCTCGGTTGTGCCATATCCCACGATCACCACTGCATGGTCCAGGGGGTCTGTGCAGCCGCCTGGAATGTCTGCACCAGCCACCAAGTGCATTTCAGGCCAGCATACTAGTCAATGCAATTCACTGAATATGAAGTGCTGCAACATGGCAGTCTCCTCTCACCGGTGGTGATGCCTTTGAAGGTGAGCCTGACGGCAGCCAGCAATGCTCTAGACAGGGGATTTTTGTGACAGGCACAGGAAGGCCCAGGCTTTCAGGAAACCCACACATGTTCGCACCATGATTGCCAGAAACTCCTCTCTAAAAGAGCATGCTTTGCAAGTGACAAGAACAACATCCGATTGGTAAGCATGCACAAAGCCTGAAGCTGCCTTCCGCAGAGTGCTGTGCATAAACCCCCTCCTTATACTTCTGTGAAAGGGCGTGGGAGACATGCATGGAAGGATGGCCGCTGCTGGCCAACGGCTGTGGTGTGTTGTTGTGTGGTGTGGCGTCTCTAAGCCAAAGCGGAGAGGGCGCACCGACGCCTGGAATCTCAAAGATGCCGCCGGTGTAGGCGTGCCAGTTGTCGATGTAGTCGCCACAGCACACCGCTACTGCGACCGGGTGCTGACTCACCGCCTGCGCGATCGCCGTCTCGTTCTGGGGCGGCACGTGGCCGAAGCCGTCCAGCGCGCTCGCTTTTGGTGCATGCCCCTCCTTCTTGCGGCTGCATGGAAGTCAGGGTTAAGTTTCACAAATTTAGGGGTTTTATCTTTTAACCAAAATGCAGAACCCTAAAACCCTAATAACACCCCTTAATCCAGACATATGTTTTGTCCCTGGGATTCCATAGCTTGGAATTCAATTTGGCCACCGTAGATCTCGAGTGCATGGGCTAGCACGTGTCTAGAGCTATGCAACACCAAACGCCTTTAGGATGTGGTTGTCCTTGCGGATGCTCAATGCATGCATGCTCACCAACGTTCAGGAAGCCATGCTGCACAAGTGCACCTGGAAGAACTTTCAGGTAGGTCAACCATGGCATAGGCGCTCTATCAAGTGTGGGCTGCCAAAGCCAAGGCTAGAGGATCTGAAGAATCACACTTCCACCCAACAAGCCCCCTAACACGGCCCCCAAAAATCGAGAAGCAGTTTTGGGTGCGCACATGCACTTGTCATCGTGGGCTAGGTAGGGGTAGTCGTCCTCGGTGTCGATGCCGCCGTTTTCTATGATGTAGTCGACTCCGCCCTCAAAGTCGCCGCCCTCGCAGCCCAGGTCGTACCAGGGAGCTGCGCATCCAGATAATTAGGGTTCAGGGTCTTTATAGCATACAGCCTGAAACCCCTTAATATGTCAAAACAAATATGTGCATCACTGTGAGAAGATGTGCAGAGTTGTGCAACACAGCCATGCGCCAGTCAGTGGCACAACAGTTCGCACCATGGCAGTGGGCACATGAAGCATGCACCAAAAAAATGAATGCCTTAAGGAGCTCAGCCCACTGGAAAATGGAGCAATGCTACGCTTCAATAACATCTAGGGATGCACAGAGCAACATGCACTGCTCAGCCTAGAGGCTTTTGGGCGCATGGAGTCCTAAAAAAAGTCCACCAGCGCAGCAGATCACCTCGCCGGCAATGGTGCCTTCTAGCGCTTGCAGTGTCAATCATTGCAATCAATACAGTCGGCAATGCAGCGGCCATGGGCACCAGGACCAGTGTGTTTGATCGACAGCCAAACCAGGCACGCACCGCCCTTATCGCAGTCGATCAGCTGCTGCTCGCTGAGCGAGATGGGCTTCCCGGTGGCCAGCGCGACGATGCATTCTGTGACACCGATGGTTGCAAACGCCCAGCAGCAGCCGCAAGGCGCGCCGCCCACATGCTGGTTCTTGATGGGGCCCACAATATCCTTCTCCCTCCAGTCGACATGTGTCGGCGGCACAATATTCTCATACCTGTATGGCCCCTCCTTCTTCCCCGCACTGCGCACACAGACGAGTATCTGAGCAGATGTTTACAATGGCTCCCGACCATGGATTGTTATGCTGAGGCAGCCTTTCCTCTTTCTGGCGCTCGCACACCCTCAACATGCGTCCCCTCTTGGTCTTATGATGGGTTTTGAAAGTTCCAATCGCGAACTTCCGAGGTTGCCGCCTGGAAAAGCTACCACATGATGCGATGGGGTCAGTTGAGTTGTTGCAAGGCCGACACTGACCCAGGAGCTTCTGCATGCAGCGCCATCACATTCCAAATAATTGCATCACGAGAATGCAGACCTTCCTTGTGAACGCCCATGCAATCAGGCAGCTCCCATCACCAGTCGCTGTGGCCTCTCACCGATCCTCTGCGCGCTTAGCAGACCTAACAACTGCAGACCGAGTTGGGAACGCAGCAGAAAGGTGACAGGCAAGTTCTGTGCCCCCACCTGAGGGCCTCGGCGTTCCTGCGCGAGACCTGGCCGAGGTAGCCAGCCTTGAACTCCTCGAGGCTGATGTCAGCCAGTCCATTCACCGCCACCTCCGCGGCAGCAGCACTGTTGGCAGCCGCTATTGTAGACGCCTGGCGCTGCACATTTGCTGCCCACACAGCGAATCTGCGGTCCGCCTCCTCTGGTGTGCTGTAGTACTTGCCATTGTGTGCTGCCCAGGCATCAAATTCTGCACGTGCACCTTCCTGCAAAAATAACACGTGATGTAGTTAGCAAGATGCCTTTGGAAGACGACTGCCCAGTCCAGAATTTGATGACTGCAAGAAGCATTATTCAGTGTGGGAAACTCCTCATAGGGACGACGCTCTGTTCCTCTCTGAACCACAAAGCAGCTGGCTTGATATGAAGAAGCTCAGTCTCCTTTCTAGGGCAGCAGCAGATCAGGCAAAGATATAATGTACATTCCGACAGTCCGCCCTGCTCCGCTGACAATGTTCCCAATGCTTGGTGTAGCCTCGAACTAGACAAAGAGACTAGGGTCCGCTGTTGGTGGTTCGTTGGCTGTCACCACGTGACTGAGCAGATGCCGTATGCTTCTGCGGACTACCGGACCAAACCCGAGCTGCTTTGGATCACAGAATAACACCAGAAAATACTGCTCATAATGTCACAATTCCTACCTACAATTCCTTGCTTTGCCTTGCAAAGTCTCTTCCGCTTGGAATACACAGCTGAGCAGAGGCGTTCTATAGGGACGCCCGCAAGAAAGCAGTAAGTTCCCACCTGCAATTGTGCGGTGCGTGCGACGTAATGCAGTGAATTTGACTTTTGGGCGTCGCTGGTCGCCATCGCGGTTACCAGCGCAGCCAACAGGGCAGCTGTGCAACCGCGTGACCACATCGCTGGCTTCCGTGCCGGCTTCGACATGACCAATATATCAAGACTCGCTTGTTCTGCAACACAGTGTCCAACAATAGATGATTCTGGGCCTCAGTCGTCCGTGAAAATGCTTAAGTATCATTACTGCGTCTTGCATCTCCGGTTCATTCACGTGACTGAATGTTAAATTCAGGGATATAAGGTTTGGGGATTCGCTGTGGGACACCCGCCTACACAGGCACGGTTCTCGATTAGCTCAGTTGGCTAGAGCGCATGGCTGTTAACCATGAGGTCGTAAGTTCGAACCTTACATCGAGAGCAACATTTTTTTTCTTTTTCTTGCATTTTTTTACGCTGCCTTTCAGTGCAAAGAACAGGTGCCAAAAGACCTCACAACTCTGGAAATGGCCCATGCATATGCTTTGTGGCGCCCCCATCAGATGTTCCATGCATGGATTGAGCAACAGCTCCATATATATGCATGGTCGGACAGTCTGACCAGTTGGTCAATGCATCGTCAGTGTGCTGCCACAATATCGGATGCCAAAGACCGTACCGCAGTCCTTCAGTCACGTGTCAAAATGTAGTCTGACATATCCCAACACCCTGACGCATCATGACACGGATGACACATCGGCGCTGCCCCGCTTATTTCCACAGCCACAATCTTGAGTACACTAGTGGAAGTGCAGATGTCTCAAGGGTGTCTTTTGGCTCCCCATCTCAGAAGGCTCTGTCTAATTTCTCTCGGGAAACATCTCACACACTCAGATCCTCTTGAAACAAAGCACGCTCCCACAGCCAGCGTTTGGTGCCATCCAACAAATGTGGCTTGACCCCATTCGCGGAGGCTCCAACAATGACTATCTGTATCAGCCCCGGGATTTCGATGCTGAAAAGCCGTGGTAGATGTACTTCCTTCACTGCTGTGTAAGCGCCTGCATGGAGCATAGAGAAATGAATCAATCACGATGAATGTTGACCATGCATGCACACTTTCCAGAGGCTAGGCCATCGCCGCCATGGAACACATGACGCCACCATCGAGCTTGGACTCCAAGTAGTATGGTGTCACACGCAGGGCCGGCACTGCACACTTTACAGAGCAAGGCCATCATCGCCATGGGATACAGGACCCCCCCATCAAGCATGGACCTCCCAAGAAGATGGGTTGTAATGGAGTCTCAGGCAGGTCCAACACTTCACACTTCCGGCAACAGTGTATTGCTGCAGCATACATGGCAGCACCAGGCTGGCAAATCCTTCGCCGGGTGCTCGAAAGGTTGACAAACAAAAGAACGAAATTTCTCAAAAAACGAATTCACGCAGGCATTGCCACCCACCTGTCGCCGCACGCGCTGCGCTGTGACGCGCTTGTGCCACGGGAGCGCGGCGCACGTCGGTTTGAATTTGATGTGATGGTTCTAGGAAATGGTGTTCACGATTAAGAAACCCAGAGGCATGTATTGAACATGAGACCCGCCTGTCGTCGCTCGCGCTGCGCTGTGATGCGCTCATGGGCACGCGAGCGCGGCAATCTTCGGATTAAGAACCTAGAGGGATAATGAGAAACAATGGGGCATGGATTGAAGAGGGAACCCACCTGTCGCCGCTCGCGCTGCGATGTGACGCGCTTGTGCCACGCGAGCGCAGCGCGCGTCGGGTTGAGCGCTCGGAATCGGCGCGCGGCCGACCGCCGCTCGACGGCCCGGCCGTCCGGGCCGACTTCGGCCGGCAGCGCCGCCGCCGTGTTGGAGAACACCTGCGCGCAATAAATCAATCTTGAGTGGCTCAGCCTATGAGAGAACACACAAAAATGGATAATGGTGGCACAAAGACCTGGCAACACTGCTGCAGTTTGACACTTTCATGGGCAGGGACGCAGCAAATTAGAGTGGCTCAGCCTGTGAGAGGACACAAAAATATGGATGGGAGAGGCACAATAGCCTGGCAATCTACACAATAACATGCTCATGGCAAGGGAGGTAGTTCACAGTCCTGCACTGCGTGCCAGAGCTCCCCGCGCCCCCAAAAATGTTAGGTGGGATTTACGGATAGCCTGGAAATGTACTCTGCTGCAAAAAAAAAAAGCTGGGCAAAGAGCTCTTCAGATTCTGTGCAGGTAAACAACAGAGCTTGCCTTCCGCACTAGTGCTCACACTGCTATTTCAAACAATGCACAATTTCCCTCTGAACTCAGCAACCTCCGATACTATGCTAGAAGCAAATGAGGCACATTCTCGAGGGCATCTGGGGAATTTCTTTTAGGCAGGAGATCTTGTGTAGAAGGGAGGGGCCTGAAAACACAGGGACTCTGCAGCTTGCGTTGATTGCCCAGGTTCTACGGCTAGTCAGCGGTTGTTCACTCGTTTCACAGGGAGCCAGGAGATAGGCAGGGGCCGCACATCAAGCACGATGAAGGCCAGGATGGGCGACAGGTCCAGGGTACCTCCAATCGGGGGGATCAGACCTCGAAACAGGTTTAGATATGGATCGCACAGCGTGCTGCACCACACCACATCTCTGTTAGACAGAGTTATTTCCACCAAACACACGGTGATTGAAGCATGCATCCTACGCCCGATCTTGGATTGCATGCACTCTACGGCTTCCACAACACAAAGTAGAGAGCTGACAGCTATATGCGTTGGCGGGGATGGTTCCAGCAACCATACTGTAGTGCACTGCTCATGGAAGATCAGGCATCACAGATTTTCAAGCACCCAGAATGAGAGGCGATGGAAAATCAGGCATCACATATGACAAGCACCAGAAATGAGAGGCGATGGAAAATCAGGCATCACACAAACCAGCATCAGAAATGAGGGGCAAACCTGAGGGGCGCTGCAATAACCTGTGGCGGGTTTGGGAACCAGGTCAGGAGGATGCGTGCAATAATGATTGTGTTGTACAGGCTCCTGCAAAACAAGCATCCAGCATCATTAGCTGCCCTCCAATTCAAGAGCGTTCGTCATGTCATGGGTGTACATCTCAACCATGGCCTTGGAAAGTTTGTCACTGGCGCTTACTGGTCAGTGAAGTCGGAAGCCATGGGCTCACGAATGGACTCGAGCACATGCATCTCTCTTCTATGGTGGCTTTCATGTTGCCGGAGAACATTATTGACATTGCTCGTTTCATACAGGCTTGTTTTGCTGCATTGCCTGATTCTTCGGGTGGTTGTGGGTCAACTAAGCAGCCCTAGACGGCTGGAATGATGTGTAATCATCTTTTTCTTCTATGCTGTATCTAGTGACATCTTATGCCACTATTGGACTTCAGGAAGGGGCCTAATGTATAGAGAATAAGAGCTGGGACCCACAGGAAGCTGGAGAAGCCTGTTGTGAGGACCTGCTCCACGGCCGAGTCTCCAGGGATGACAGCCGCAAAGGGGGCAGCCCGAGGGAACACCACCTCTGGTTTTCTCCGCAGGTGTGCTCTCACATGCAGTGTCTGTCCTGCGGGTTTTCTGCAGCACATGAGGCGCTCGTTAAAACATGCAGGATGTCCAGGACAACGTTCTGGCTGATTGGGTGTCGTCTTCATATTAGTTGTTTCCCAAGCTACCAACACAAAATGATGTTCTAAAAACGGCAGGTCAGGTGTCAGGCTGCAACCTGACGGCGTAACTATGTACTTGTAGGTCTGAAACTGCAAATTTCCAATGTACTGCTTAAGTATCCAGCGTTGCGACCTCACATACAGGACAGCAACGATCTACGGCCTGAGTGTTGTGCGCGCAATTTGCGACGCAGATTGTGACATGATATGGATGATGACCTGAGTTCAGATTTAAGCTGCTCAAAGGAATTTCCCATCTCCGTGAGCTGGCTGGTCACACCGCTGCACATCCGCATGCCCCATTCCAATGCTGTCTGCGGCCTCCACCCCAATGGCTGTGGCCCTGTCGCTGCCATCTTCTCGATAATGTCCATTCTCGACAATTTTAAGTTTGCTGTACGTCCCTCTTGTACTATGTATCGCTGTGCGTCCTTGTCTTCTGGTGCACGCCCACGCTCATCTGGGCCCCTCGCTGCAACCGTCTGATCCCCAGTTGGCGGCAGCGCCTACCCACGTCACCCTTGAGTCATCCCGGAACTTATTGGACGCTTAACTTTTTGGTCTGCTTCCTAATCTGCCATTATTTGTCTGGACTATATATTGGTGGGAAGGCTGTTGTGAGAGTGAGGGTGTCGGTGCCGCCGCCCGCAAGGACTGAAGGTTTTCGTGCTTTCCAAGATTGCTGTGCTACCCCGTGACGCAGTCTCTGTTTTGGCAGCCAGGCAGCGGAGCGATGAATAGAATCAAGGATGAAGAAAGCAAAAATCTGCCGACTTTTCCTGGGTGCGTGCATAGTCCATGCGCAAGTAAACGTTCTGAGAGGTGGTGAACGTTTGTCCGACGGTTGCATAGTGACAATTCATGCATATATGCAGCCATGCAAATGCACTAATATTGTTAACACAATTTTTTCTAGGGATTCCAGGGATGCGCTCGCATTCAGGTACTCTTTTTGCGAAGAAAAACACAGACTGATCCATCTGACAGGTGGCAGATCGAGGAAGTCTGTCAAAGGATTATAAAAATGGGAGCTGCCGTAAGAGATCGCTTGTGACCATAGACTTGCACTGCATTTCAAAGAGAGAGTGATTGTCATATCCCCAATTGTGCGTCCAGCAGTTATGTGGGTTCTTTTGTAGCTTCAGACATCTTTTGTAGCTTCAGACCAGCTTCCTCGCTCAGCAGGAACGCAGTCACTCGCCTGGCTTGTCACAGAAACATCCCATCGAGTCCCAAACTTTCTTTGATTAGACCTGACTAGGACAAGGTGAAGTTGACTCTGAAATTCAATCAACAATTCGATGCTGGGTGCAGGTCTTCGTCAGTACCAGTATCAGTGAAGCACTCCAAATCGTGGCGCATCTGGCACATCAATCTGAAGTTTGTGCTTGCCAGCCAGCAGTGGGCAACCATCATTCTGACCATCCTTGTCTGCTGCGTCCCTGTTGCCATACTTCACTGGGGCTCTGGAAAACACCCGAGGTGATCTACACCCGTTGAGAAGCAAATGTGTTGTCCGCTGCTTTCCCAGTCAACTTTTTCAGCAATTTTGCATTACAATTCCATTGCAGTGAGGACGTGGGTTGTTGTCTAGCTCATGCATGAGTGAGCACTGTGCAACGATTGCAAGCACTGGTTGTCCACTCATCATAACCACAAGAGTTGGTTTACTAATCATTTCTATTTTTTTCTCTATTTTAAAGGATTTACTGTACGTTTGGATAGCTTGGCTGGTATGCTGCCACTTCCTTAGCAATA